TCTTAACATATTGTTATTTAACTTTTATAACCACAGTTTGGATTTCAACCAAAAAATAATAATTTTTAAAAAAGTTACAAATTGATAAATAAATTATAGAAGATATAAAATAGATAGTAATTTATACCTTCAATATAGAAACATGCATTACATTAATGCAAGTAAAGAGACTTGAAAAGGGTTGAAATTGGAGATTAAATTGGTCTCAATTGAAGGTTCTTTTGAAATTGGGTAAGGCTTGAATGGGTAGAAATTAGACTCAATCGTCATGGTACGAGATTATTTGGACTATAAGATCAAACCAGATTATAGAGCAAGATTTTCTAAGTAATAGTCAACAAATTGGAATTCATTTATTAACTGATTTTTTTCTCCCATTTGAACTTATTTCCATAATCCTTTTAGTTGAGTCCTACCCATAAAATTCTGGACGAATTAAACGGATTATCTATATTTGGGCTCATTTTGACACCCCTAACTATGGTTCGCTATTTTTGAGACACAATTTGAAATCAATCTATTATGACTGTATGTGAGTGTAAAATATCAAATTAAAAACAAAAATTCTTCATGTCAATATGTGATCAAATTAAGTGATCGTTTGATGAGGAATAGTTAAATTAAGTGATCGTTTGATGAGGAATAGTTTTTCTTTTTTCACTTTTTGGAATAATATTTTGAGAAACTATTTGACATATATTTTGTATAATTTTTCGTTTCAATTTTTTTTGGAATTTAAAAACCTCCAAAAAGTCGCTTTTACCATTTTTCAATCCAAATTGTTCATAATTTTTTAAAAACAAGTATACATATTTATACACAACTTTAAAATTTTAAATACTAATTTCAATTTGAAAACAAATACTATAAGTACTTTTATTTTTCTTTAAATTTTCACAATTCTCATATCTAATTTCCCATTAAATACCCAAACTTTTCATATGGATATGTTAGAAAATAGGAACTTGACAGCGAAAGTTTTACCCTTAGGTTCTAATAATAATTAATTATATCTTAATTTTCTTAAATAATAACCATTTTGTAAAGCACGATATCTAAACGGATTGAAGAGGGGGGTGGGAGGGGGAGTAACAGGGGCGGACCCACGTGGGTTTCAGGGGTTCACCCGAACCCTCTCGACAAAAAATTACAATGTATATATAAAGTAAATTTTTTATATTTCTGTAGATATATATATTTTGAACCCCTCAATGGTAAGGAGAAACTAATAGCGCAGTGGCAAGTCCCCTGAAATTAAGCTTCATGTCACCAGTTTGAATTTCTGTGATAGCGTTTTATTTTTTCCTATTTTAGTTTCAGTTCTGTAGATATATATATTTTGAACCCCTCAATTAGTTTTGTTTTATTTTTAAAAACGTAGTAAAAGTATGATTTTAAACCCAAAAGAATTCAAGGGTCTCATTTCTAAAGGCTTATTTACACGTTTATACTTTTATTTTCGAATCCCCTGAACGAAAATTCTGAATCTGCCACTGGGGAGTAAGTCACAACTCACAACACAAAGGAATTCAATACAATAATATATTTAGATTCATAATTAAGTAGATTTTGACGACATCGGAATGTACATATATTTTATCCTTAAATCAAGTGAGATAAAATAGTTATCTTTAACAAACTCACGTCATCTCATGAGAGTCAATCCTTTTTGAAGAAGTCACCATTCTTTTGAAGAAGCTATTCATCTACCGCGACTTTATTAATTTTAGGTCTATTTTTCAGGAAAGTCTATTCTTAGTAAAAGATTGACTCAAAAAAAGTGTTTAATATAAGTAGAAAATAAAAATATGTTTATAAATCAATCAACGAATGAAATAATCGATCACCTCTATATTTTTATACTATATATGAAAGAATAATTTTATAAAAAAAATGAATATCATCATTGTTTTAGAAACAATTTATAAAACCATCAAATTTAAAGACCACGAAATGAGAGTAATCAGTAAAATCTTAATTATTATCCTAGTTTATATGACTTATTGCTCTTTTTAGTCGGTTAAAAAAAGAATGATTCATTTTTATATTAAGTAACAATTTAATTTTAAAATACTCATCTTACTCTTAATGAAATGATTTATAGTGAGGTGATTTGATAGTTAACCTGTGTCCTGACAATTTTACATCTCAATTTAAGGACAAAATGATATTAAAAAGTTTCCTAACCAAGTTGAATAATTAGTAACCTAAATTATTAGATAACTTCAAATTTCAAATTCAAAATTAAATAATTATCAACCTAGATTATCATGTAACTTCAAATTTCAAAATTTTAAACTTCAGTTTTCATATTCTAAACGTATCTATGTGTATGCCGCTGTCCCTAAACATGATTAATCAATTTAATAGTAAGAATCACATAATAAAGAGGAAATATATATCATTAAATCATGTTAAATAATAAAACAATTATATGCAAGTATATTTGTTTTGTGTTCATTTATTTTGGTGCAAACAATTAATAAAATATTCCCTTAAATTTCACATTTAAACATTGCAGCATGGGAGAAAGCTTTTATCATATCCAATGAAATTACAAATATTTGTCAAAGATTGACCTCAATAATTTATTTATTTTGAATTTTTGACTTTTTTTTATTTTTTTTTCTTCCATCCATTCAAAATTGTCTTTAGGAACGACTCAATGATTTTAAAAATGAGGCATCCCCAAAATTTGAAGGGAATTTTTTTTAATAATAATAAAGTTATTTTAAATTGTTTAAAATAAAAAATTATACTATGTCTTTTAATTAATTAATTTATTTTTTAGTTCGTTTCGAAATATTAAAGAATATTTTTTTCTTTTTTGTCAATTTTAAATTTAACTTCCATGTAATATGTTTAAGACTACAAGATTAAAAGATATTATGGGTATATTATATATATATGCATCTTTAGTTTAATACTATAAAAAAATAAAACTTTGTATCTCAAAAATAATAAAATAATTTTCTATAGATTCTTCCGTAAGCAAAAAAAAACAATTTTTTTTCAAAAGAAAAATAGTTTCAGGTTGCCAAAATAGAAATTTTATGAAATTTATTGAGATGATAAAATGAATTAATAATAATTCTTATAAAGTTAGAAAAAAACAAAACTATTTTTTTACCTATTTATAAAAAAGAGAAAAATATTATAAATTCCCCTGGTCTGGCCTTGTTTAGACAAGTACCAAACCCCTTAACAACAATAGTAAAACATATGTGGACAATAATACAAATATAGAAAAAGACACTTTATCTCTATATTAATTAATGTAAAAACACTTAAACTATACTATTGTAATTAATTATATTCTTCTGACTATGTTCCCCAAGTGGGGTAAGTTTGGTGTGACTAAAGAGATTATTAAACTTTCCTTTTCTAAATCAAACACACTATCACTAAACTTCCTCCCTTCATGGTAATTATTGCTTAATTAAACTCATTATTTGTATGTATTAGTAATTAATTAACTCTACCTTTATAATCACTTCTCTTTGATCAAACAAGATTACTAAATTAAACTAACCACTCATTTCCTATCAAACATTCCAAAAATAGTAAAACATTTTTTTTTAATAAAAACTCTAGTAATATTATCTTTTTATTTATTTTTTCTCAGGGTTAATTTAAACAAAGTTTTACTGCTATTTTACAAAAAAAACTTAGGATTTATTATATCCTTTGTAAGTTATATTCATATAGTTGTCACTTATAAATTATTTAGTAATCAAACAAAATTTACAAACTACAAATAAGTGAGATTTACTTCTCTACAAGTATCTTTAATATAAATTAATCGTTTAAGATGTGTGAAAGATAAATTATCAATTTTATATAAATAAAGTAAATATTTGAATCGTGTGAAAGATAAATAGATACACACTCATTAATTCTCATACGAAAGAAGGAAAAGATATCACAAACGACGAAGTTCTTAAATCGTGTGATTTTGAATAAATGAAAGTCAGGATCTTTATTGTCATATTGTGGGTCCCATAATTACTACTAGCAGCTTAATCGTTTTGTTATTAATAAATACTAATTAAAATAAAAAAAACATATTACTTTCTTAGTTTATTTTTATTCATTCAATATTAATCTAATATATTCTTAAAAAATAATAAATTAAATGATAATTTTACTATATTATTCATTGGATATAATAAATTCAATACATTAAGAAATGACTGTAGTTAATTATAAAAATAAATTAAAAATTATGTTATAAATTATTTCGTAATATTTTAAATTAAGCATATATTTTTGATATAGTAAATAAATAAAAGTGGATGAAGAAAGTATGAATAAAAGATAATTAAATACTACTCTCAGTAGTTAATTCTTTTAAACCCCACATAGATTAAATAATTCATTAATCATGAATATTAAATGATTAAACTCTCAAAGAGATTAATTAATCCATTAGTCGTGAATATATAAATGATTTAACCCCACCACATATCATAAATGAGTGAATAATAAATATTTATTTAATAACAAAAACCCCACATGTTTAAAAAACTCAATATTTTTTAATCTTTTTTTATTTTTTTTAGTACAAACTGGTCCTGCATTTTTTCTCTCTCTAGAAAACTTCACCTCCTATAAATATCAAAAATCTTCATCTTTCTTCACAAGTGCCATTGCCCATTGCTACGCGTAGTTGTTGAAGAGAGAGAAAGTCAGAGAGAGAAAATGGCGGAAAAAAGTTGAAGGGGCAAAGAGAAAAAGATCCCAATAAAACAAGCAAAAAAAAAAAAAAAAAAAGAAGAAAAATTGCAGAAAAAAAGAAACTTTCTTTTGCTTCTTCATTTGCTATGTTTTTCCTCTTCTATTCTTAATGGTGTTGTGTTGTTAGCCATTCCTCATATTTCTCTTCTATTTTTCCTCTGCTTCTGCCATATATTCTGATTTTGATTTTGATCTCTCATTTTTTTTTTTTTTTTTTTTTGAAATTCTATATTCAGCTGACACCTTTATATTTCTCTTTTTTTTTTTTTGTTAAATATCTCGAAAAATAAGTGGATCTTGCTGCTACCCATTTCGTTTCTCACCGACCCATAACCAGGGTTTCGAGAAAAAAAATAATCTTTTTTTTTGTACCTCAAGCTGGACATTTTTGGATTCACATTTGAGTTTCTGGGTTTGGGATTTTGGGTGGTGATTTTGAGGTTTATATTTGCATGATCCATTTTTAGGGTTTGGGTTTTTGGTGATTTGGTGTATTGAGGGGGTTTAAGTGATTTTTTTTGTTTTTGGGTTTTTTTCTGGGTTCAGTTAGATTGAATCCTGTTTAGTGTTTCTGAGTTTTGAAGGAACTGTGTGGTGGTCCAGTTACTTCAAGGAGTCCTTGGGCAACTTCTCCAGGTTTCTTCATTCAGGTAATTAAATGCAAAAAACGTAAATTCGTGTTTCAGTTAATTGTATGTTGTTGGTGTTTTAGGTAAAATTAAGGCTGTTAAATTGCTAAAATGCTAAGTATTTGTTTATCATAATACTTGTATTTTTGGAAATGTATCATGATTTGATTGCAATTTTAGTTGTTAAAGTTTTATTGATTTGAGTGTTGGAGGGTTCTTATTTGTTAATTTGTATATTGTTTTTACAGTCATTACATGACATGCAACAACGTTATTTGAGGCATTTTCACGCAATAGACTTGACATTGCAGTATTTTTAAGTGAGGCTAAGCTGAGGGATCTAATAAATTGTTCTTCCTCAGCTGGCTTGTTAACCATGTCTCTTGAAGGTTTCATTCTTTTACCAACTCTCCCAGCCAACAACCTGCTAACCCTAAGCTTGCAAGCACCTTGGTCACATCTAAGTCCCTATTCAATTGTTCTATTTGGGGAGGAAAGAAAAAGATCTGCCTTTTGTGGGAAGAATCCGAAAGCACGGGATGGGTCTTCCCTTCCTTTACATCATCCACCACGTGCATTTTGAGCCTTTTTTGTTTATTGTTTATTCTGATGTTTGTTTACTCGTAAATAATTTTGCAAACAAGTGCCAATTGGTACACGAGGTTCCCCTATGTACGATTGATTTCGTTATCAGCAAAATTATTGAGTTTGTTGGTCGATTCGAAGCTAAATGATTGGTTGATATTCTTTTCTTTATGTTGTTCAGTTGCTATACGTCTTACAAAGTATATATTTTACCCGAGTTTCGGACAAATCATTACTTTTTTTGTACATCTGGATGTTAAGCTAGTGTTTTCTTTGTAAGAGTATGGGATTAAGGGGTAGTTGATTGATTGATTTGTAGATTAAGAACTTGAATCCTCTGCTTGCCGTATTTTCTTCATTTTATTTCAAGAAGTTACTATGTCACACTATTTAGTAGTTGGATGTGATGGTTTTTTAAAAGTTAGGTTCCCTGAATTATGTGTTCAGGAATTCAAGAATAGGTTGTATTTCTTGGAATTAATTTACGCATATCACGATATTTGACTGGTCTCAAAATGACAAGTCTTTTTATCGAGTTGAGATGTAGGGGCTTCATTATTGGTGTTGTGGAAGTCTCTAAACTGTTAATATTGGAAGTTCCTTTTACCTAAATTCTTAGAGCAACACTAATTTGTGTCATTTGTACATATTGTAGTTATTACATTTGACCTTCCAAACTTTTGAGGTTGATCAACTGGGAATTTTGAGTTTCTTTCCAAATGTTTGTTTAACGATAATTTGTGTAGAAGATTAAATGTCTTTTGTGTAGAAAAAAGAGCACAAAGATTGTGCTATGACTTGCATCAGGATCCTTACAAGTGCTCTGATTTTTATTATGTCACTTCAATTGGTGGTTGTGATAAGTGATCTGATGGGTTAGAAGTGTGGTACCCTAGGAAATTTCAGAATAGGTTATTCGTCATAAAATAGTTTTCCATTTTTGTTACTATTATTTAAGAATCTCAATCTAGCTTTTAGAAGTTGGCAGTTCCTTTGTTGTCACTCATTGTTATAGTAAGCTCAACTGGCTTTGTCGTGAATGATGTCACTCCTCTTCGATGTGATGCCTTATTACTCCCTTGATCTAGTAACAAACAATTTTATATCCTTTACATTTGCCGTCACTATTATTTACTTCTTCAACCTTTTAGGATGAGTATGACAAGTGAAAGCGATGACAGGATGACATCACAAGATGGGGTGGATTCACCATCTGTCGAAGAAGCTTGTGGTGGAGGAAATACCGGAGGAGGTCTACCACTTAAAAAAGGCCCCTGGACTTCTGCAGAAGATGCAATTTTAGTGGAGTACGTCACGAAACATGGTGAGGGGAACTGGAATGCTGTCCAAAAGCACTCAGGACTTGCTCGGTGTGGTAAAAGTTGCCGTTTGCGATGGGCCAATCATCTGAGACCAGATCTAAAGAAAGGTGCATTCACTCCCGAGGAAGAGCGGCACATAATTGAACTGCATGCTAAGATGGGAAACAAATGGGCGAGAATGGCTGCTGAGGTTTGTATCATCTGAAAATCTGATTTGTCATTGCCGTCTATATATGCTTATGGCTGATCTCTCCTCAGATGATAATTACATAATAAAATCCAAAATGTGATCAGATGTATGTTAGCCAAATAATTCTCTAGAATTTGGTTAAATTGTATCTTTATTTTTCTTTTGGTGTAAACAAACAAATATGGAGGAATTAGAGCTTGTAGATCTGTTAGGCTCTCTGTAAGTAGTTTCTCCCTTTCTCTTTTTTTTTGTTCCTCTTTTGAAGGTCTCCAGCATATCCTTAATGCTGAGGAATACAACATTACCAGTTTCAAAAAATAAATAAATTGACAGTTCAAGATAAATTTTGGTAAAACAGCTATCTTTTTATGCTTAACTTTCTGCCTCACCTACATGATTACAATTAATATACTCAATTTTTTTTATGGAAATTTTGTGAGTTGCTTTCTTGGGATGGAAAAAAACAGGAACAAAAATTTCATGCGTAAACCTTATTATTATTATTTTTTAGAGAAGATCCTTTTCTTGAAATGATTTGATGCATTGCTATTATATAGAGGGCTCATTTCTTAAGTTGGTGAATCGTGCCGGTTTAAAAGTCTTAAATGCCCCCCTTTAAATGATCTAAACACCAGTTTATATCACACTTCTGGGAAACGATTGCCCATCCCTTTTTTTTTAAAATTATGTGTTTTAGCTGGATGTTATATTTGCCATTAATTGTCAAAGTTTATTTTGGATTGATAATCACTATTAACACTTCCCAAATAATGTTTAATGGTCGTTGATAATTATTCTGCTTTTGGGAGAAGCAATTACAAGCTTTCAAGTGTGATGTCGCTTCCCTTTCAAAAACGTTGTATAGGAACCAAAACTTGAATCAATTTTTTTTTTTTCTGAGAAGGAAAAATGCTAACTTGAATCAAGTTTCAAGTGTGATGTCTAGCAACCTTGCTTATTGCAAGTTCAAGTGTGATGTCTAGGGGTCTTGCTTATTGCAAGTTTTTTCTAGTGTTGATGTCTAGGACCGTTGCTTATTGCAAGCTTATAAAAATGTGTTCTGTTTTTTGAGAAGCAATTAATGTTCTTTCAGTCTGTTTTCTTATTGTGTGCTATCTGCCTGTTCTTAATTTTTTGGTGTGATGTCTGGAAACCCTTCTTATTGCAAGTTTATATCATTAGATATGCTTATCTTTTCCTTTTTGTATTTTCCTGTTTGTTAATATTTGTATTCTCCTGTTTGTTGATAAGCTCTCTGAACTTCTTATCTTTCGTCTTGCTATTTGTCGTCAATTATTGGGCAGTTGTATGAAGTTATGTCTGATCCTCAATGATACTTGGTTGTAAGAGTTTAAGACCGTGGTCAGGTAATTCTACTAACATAGGAGAGAGGCTGGTCAACTGTACTTTTTCTAGAAACCGGGTTGGATGCTTGGTGAGGTACTGAGGTTATGTTGTATGAAGTTATGTTTGATGACGGATGTAGGTTCTGTTTTAGATCCTGATCTGGACATCAAATTTAAAATACTATGATATTTTTTCGTACGTCCATTTGAAAAGTTCATTGTACAGTTGAATAAGTGGCATACTTGTAGTTTCTAGCCCTATTGTGTATTGGCGTTGTGCTGTTTCTCTTGGGAGTAAAGCCAGTACTTCCTGATTTCTGTCGTCAGCTATAGTCCTCTTGCATCTCTTTAACACTTAGTTATGTCATCATTCTTAACACTGAGTGGTGAAAATGTGACTAATCATGGCATATCGAGAAGTGTTATGATATAAATGTAGAGCTTAGCAATGTTAATCATATTAGTTTTCGGAAATCAAGATGTTAAAGTGTTTGGCTCATTGGGATTCATCATATCACAAGGGACTTCTCTGTCTTAACATATCAATTACTATTTATATAATTCAATATTACACTTGGCAGTAATCTTGATCCAGTGAGTAAAAAAGGTAGGGTACAATATAGAGAAAGGAAAGGCACTCATAGTGAATGCTACATTTTTGGGACCCTGTGATAAATCTCTCTTCACTCTTTCTGAGGCTTTTGTGATGTTCCAAGTCCATTATTTTGTCATATGGTGCACATGGTTTTGCTTTAGGTGGTTTCACACAATGTGTAACCAGATATAAATAGTGCTTTGTGCTTGGTAGAACTTGTATGTATGGACATGTTTAAATAATGCTCTTCCTGGACTAGAAATGTGGATTTCCCCTCTTTTATCAGTGCATTTAGCTGTTTTTCTTTTATGATTTCAGATGAGTTTCTAATAACAACTGTGACCTCACCACATTATCAAATCGGAAATATTGTGGTATACCATTCATTATTGTTTAAATTCTAATGGCCCTATTCTTCTCTTTTCAGTTGCCTGGGCGCACAGATAACGAGATAAAGAACTACTGGAATACCAGAATAAAGAGACGTCAGCGTGCAGGCTTGCCAATTTACCCTTCAGATATTTGTTTTCAGTCGATTACGGAAAACAAACAAAATGAGGAGTTGGGTACATTCTCCTCTGCAGATTCACAATATCCTGATTTCTTGCCAATGAATTATGAGATTCCAGCTGTGGAATTCAAAAGGTTGGAGTTCAATCAGCATTTGTGTCCACCAGTACTTCTTGATATTCCCACTGGTGGCATACTTGATATTCCTGGAAGAAGCCTGTTGGCACAGGGTCTTAATTCTGCTTATTACAGTCGGTCATTCCTCTCAACAACGCCTCCAGCCAAGCGTATACGAGGCTCAGAATCTCTGTTCTCTGGTTTAAATGGTGATTGTTCTCCATCAAAAAATGATGGTTCTTTTCCAACCTGCCATCAACATCAGGATGATGGCTCTTTGCTTGCTCAGTCCATGGGATTTTCGTCATCATTTAATCAAAATCTAATATCTGATTATCACCCCTCATCCTTGGGTGTAATTCCTGGCAGCCATGCCCTTTTAAATGGCCACACCTCTTCTTCAGAGCCCTCATGGGCAAAGAAGCTCGAGCTCCCTTCACTCCAAAGTCCGATTGCAAGTTGGGGCTTACTTACTTCCCCTCTTCCTTCTCTTGATTCTGTCGACACTTTGATTCAGTCCCCTCCAACTGAGCATACTGAATCATGTAATCTGTCACCTAGGAACAGCGGTCTGTTGGACGCTGTACTTCATGAATCACAAACTATGAGAGCTTCAAAGAGTATCTTGCACCAGGAGAATTCTGGTGATGTGGTTGATAATTCATGTCCTGATCTCCACATGACTGAATGGGGACAACACGGTGATCCAATCTCCCCTTTAGGTCATTCTGCTGCATCGGTGTTTAGTGAATACACCCCTACTAGTGGAAGCTCATCAGAGGAGCCCCAATTAGTGACAATGCCAGGTGAGACTGATTATCATATTAACTTCTCCTGACAGTTGAAAGCATATAGTTATGTAATTTGATTGTTTTATGGTGTTGAAGCTTGCAAGGTTAAGCAGGAGAAGTTTGATTACGGACCCTATGATGGGAAGGACGATGCATCAAACCTGATCTGTCCCAGGCCAGACTTCTTGCTTGAGTCCAATTGTTTTGGTCATATGCAAAACACTGCAAGATCCATCTGGTACTGAAATACAGCTCTTTGATGATTACACTCTGTTAGCCACACTATCAGAACAAGGCTGTGGACGTGGTTCTTGTGCACGGAATGCCATGTCTACAATCTAGTCAATAAGCTCAACAAGATATTGGTACTTTTAACGCCTTGCAAACATTTTTGTGATGCAAACTTGGATTGTCGTGTCAGCTATTAAACGACTATAGAAGACTGATGTAATATTTTTTTTTGATGTGAGATTGTCTTTAGATATTGAAACACAAAATACTGCTTGTATGCGGCATTAAATTGCCTGCTTTTTCAATTCCACTGTGTTTGACCACGAATGCAACACAGCTCCTTTGTGCTGGGACAAAGTGAACATTAGAGTTTGAAGTATTGCTTTCTCTTATTATACTCCCTTTTTCTCCAAATGAGTTGTGTACTTCCTGTTTTGAGTTATAGTAGACATAGGATAGAGGGTTGCAGGCAGCACAGAGCACAAGGATCATATGTCATCACGCGCAGGTCTTAATGATTGGATGAAGCTGTCTTAGAAGATGCGCGTTTTTTGTGGAATCAATGCAGACTTAGCTAAAGATAGTAAGCAGCGGAAACAATTATGAAGGCAACGATACAAGCAGAGACTAATGCTATGTTACTGTTCTTACACTTGCATTAGGATATGGATATCTGTCATGAGTCCTGTTATTGCTGTCCTAATTAATTGAGATGTGAAGGATAATGTAAATGTTATGAAACTGTATCTAATAAAGCAGATCGGTAGTCGGATTGGGATCTGACTAAATTCGGATTCTCAACGTCTCACATTGGAGGACACTATTCTTAACATAAGCCACTCCATACTCTATTAGGATACTCAAGGATGAGGACACTATTCTTAACATAAGCCACTCCATACTCTATTAGGATACTCAAGGATGAGGACACTATTCTTAACATAAGCCACTCCATACTCTATTAGGATACTTAAGGATGAAAGAGTACTTTCAATTCTAATACAATCCTTATAATTGGTATCTTCTCCTTTCGATTTGATTAAAAATGAGAAAAGGTACCAATAAAGGTTGTGTTAGAGTGGTAATTACTCTTCTGTCATGTTGGGCATGAAGTCACTTTTGTTAAGAAGTACCTTACCTTCCGACGTGAATTTAGGTTAAGTCGGACTTCATTTCAAATATCGATTTACTTTACCTCCAATGTGAAACTTCTCGTGGATTCAGGACCAATCCGAATACCGGACGCACCAAATGCGAAACACATAAAAGAGAAAAAAAGGCAACTTAGATATGAGAATGCTTTTGCTAAAACCTTTGGCAAAATGTTCACGCAAGTCCTTCATTTCCTATGGGCAAAGATAGTCATCTCATGTAACGTACTCATAATTCCTAACGTCATCTTATCTTTTGGGATGGCAATTGTGAACCCTTTCACGTCATCACAAATGCTATTTGAAAGATGTCATTCCACTTAGAGATTTCGTGTTCGAGTCTAAGAAATAATTCCCTTTTCTTTTGGTAGGGTATTTCTCCGACACAGTAAATTTGAATTAGTCGAGTTGATGAGTTCCAACTACTATATGGTTATTTCAAGGAAAAAATAATCAATTTTTAAAACTTGTGATCTTGAATATGTCATTAAATTTCTTTTAACTTTTTATAAAAAAATAATCTAGTTACATACGTATGGCTACAAAAGAGTGTCAAATAAAGTTAAAATTATTTTTTAATTAAAATAGGTATCATCCTTTTTGAAACAACAATTATATAGAAGAAATAGAATCACATAAACTAAGACGAGAGATTAATAATTTTTATAACGAAGGAAAGCTAAGAAAGTAAACAGAATACTTTTACTAAAACAGAAAAGGGAAAAAGATGTCAAACTTTTTTCTTTCATTATCATTTATGGACATATTGTTCTATCGTCAAAATTGTTAAAGTGAATATTGTTTCCATATAAAGCATTCTTATTTGATGTTATACCTAATTGTTAAGTAGTAGATTTGATAGAATAACATGGAAATTGGTTGATTTTCCTGCCAACCTGGGATTTTCAATGTAGTAAGGTTCCATTTAAGCAAAAAGTAGACAAGATATAAAAACACGAGACTTGTACGTTGAAATGATGCGGTATATTCAAGAAGAGGTGTCGTGGTATAATGTTATTTGTAAATGACATAATATTGATCAATGAGACACGTGTTGGAGTTAATGTCTATGTCCAATCTAGAGGCTTTAGATTAAGCAAGAGTAAAACGGAGTACTTGAAGTGTGTGTTCAGTGACGTGACACATGAAGTGGAGGGTGGAAGTGAATTAGATCATACACTTGTTATATCTCAAAGAGAGTTTTTCAAGTATATTAAATCTATAATCCGAGGTATCATATTGAAGTGAAATGGATGAAATGGTCTATCGGAAACAGCCTCTACTTGGACATACACATTATGCCATAAAATGCATGACAATCTACACAAGTCCAGAAATACTAACAGGCGATACAGTTCATCTTTCCAATTATTCAGCTCACAAAAATAAAAAAGCTGTTACACATTTGGATCTCAATTTACGATTCATAAAAGTTGAACTTCAGTATTCAAACAAAAAATATTCACCACAAATGGATGAAATAAGTGCTCCTTAGCAGAGGAGGATAAATTTATGGTTGTTCTGTTCACAAATAAATTTTGGACGTGGAATAGACAAAACAAGACAATGTCCATAGAACATAAGATACATATTTTACGTAACCTTCAGTGTGACAACTTCCGTATAAACAGGTTTGTTAGATGCCCTCCCACACACTGCCTCCCTTCTCTTGCGATGCATGAGGTGGATTAGAAAATCAATGAAGTGCGCGATATTCCAATCCACAGTTCACTTCTTTATATTTCACATAGTTTGCACATTTTGCTTACCATATTGGTAGCAGGAATGAAGCATTACTGCTGCCAGTTGTATTGTTGTTGATTGCGATTCACATTTGAGCCACGTCCAGTGCCAGAAGACCCATATGGGGCACCGTGGGGATAATTTGGGCCTCCAACTCCCCGGGGACCACTGCTTCCTGGTATTCCTCCTGAACTGTATTGGGTACCCCTTCCTTGAGGTGGGTATCGACCACTGCCATAAGCTCCACCTTGGCCACGAGTAGGGTGACCGTATCCTCCAGAAGGATTTCCACCAGCTGGATATCTGCCCGGTCCTGCTGGAGGTCCATGTGGCTTTGCATAGTGGTGGCTAGGTCCGCCAGCAACCTGAGGATGGGATGCATGCATTGGGGGATTTGGCCCTGGTCTTATTTGAGTATGTCCTTGCCCTGACTGCTGAACTGGTGGAAGCCGACCATGCTGCTGCTGGTGATGCAGTTTCTGACGTTTAGCTGCTTCCTCGTGCTGCCTCTGCTGCTGTCGCTTTTTCTTTGTCTGGAACTCATGTGAAGCTTCATAGGTTGGCAAACTGCTCAAGCAAATAAGTCATAATTAACAAAGTTGCTCACTATACGGTATTCATAGAGAATCACCTTTTTGATATTTTAAAAGAAAAATGATTATCTAGGAAGAAATACCTCTTTGGATCGCATGGTAATGGATCAGTCCAGAAATACTCGGCATCAAGTGCATCCTTGGCTGATATTCTCTTGACGAGATAAAAAGTAGAAAAGCAAGTCAGTCAGGGCCTCAGGACATTGACATCATTCATAAGAACTAATCCTTAACATCCAATTGGCATTGGAATAGATAGCCACACATTTTTAATGTTCAATGATAGCAGTTGCTCATGCAATGAGACTACTGCAGGGGTATTTACACTTCAATTTGTTGACAGATGCAAATAGCACAAGCAGGATATTGGAGAATGTTGACCACCAGAATTAGTCATGTTCGTCTGTGGCACAATTACTAGCGTCATCAGTGGCACTGCATGCCCAAAATCAATGTAGGTTCCACAATTTCAAAGATAGGATGGACACCCCACAAAACAAGGTTTGAAAGAAGTGACAACATAAACGAGAAAATATGATGAACTTGGTACCTACATGCTAGCTTTGGTCGAAAAAGCACCATGACACATGAACATCTGAATGAACCTTTTCAAATATGAGTTCAACATTGTCTTGTATTCTTACTTGGAACAAGCATAAGAATAACATACATGCCAGAGAAACTGATACCTGAGATGGGTCAAGGCTCAGCATCTTGTCAAGCAACTCCAAGGCATGTCGGTCAAAGCTAAATCCAGAGATGCAATAGTATAAATACATGAACATCTACTCAATACCAAATTACCAATAGCTATAGTGCGGAACTAGAGCAAATATATCACATCATGTAGTTTTTACTTACTGTCTGAAAGCCTCCCTTAGACGTCTTTTCAATGGCCTTGATGGTTTGAAATTGTTATACCATGGAATCTTGGAAACTCCAGGCCAATTAACCTCGTCAGGAGAGCCACACAACTCAAAAATCTTGTTCAGCTGCTCTGGCTGAAATCAATGTAAAACTGGGTTATTCACCTGAGCACACTAGAAATTCAGCACAACCTAAAGTCACATTCACATGTACTGCTTTTAAGTAGGTCATTCGGGAAAAAAGAAAATTGTTAAATACACGAAACATCAAACAAGTCAAGCTCTTGCTTTAAAGCTCCACAAGTGATGTGGAAGTTCGAAAATCCTAATTAATTTGGATTAATGAGGCCAGAAGTTTGTGTTTTTTAAGATTCTTGGCTAAATCTTGTCATAAGCTAATGCACCACAGCTCAAACATAAAAGAACTCCGATGGTGAATATTTAAAATCTAAGTGACGCAACAAATTAGGTGTAGACACAATCAGTTGTCTTTAACAGTCTTAATACACAATGATTAATCAGGCACACAATCAGCCAACCAGATGTTAGACATAAAGAAACACCAGGTAGTACATACTTAACCCCCCAAAGCGAAAAATAGAAGAAGGCGTACATTAGGAAAATATCACCATCACAATTCTTTTCAAGCGCAAGCTGTTACTGTTATTCCTTAGACCATAGACAGTCTTTGTAAGGCAGGGAATACTAAAGGAAGTGCATTCATCTTCGTTAATTTTGTAAGATTTAGGACATTTAACCAACAGAAAAGATCAGCTACCTCATCCTTCCCTGGAAAAATTGGTTTTCCATGAAGCAGCTCAGCAAAGATGCAACCAACGGACCACATATCAACGGCTGGACCATACTTTGTGGTCCCAAGAAGCAGCTCAGGTGGTCTGTTTGATATACCACAAATCACAACTCACACAAAAAGAGAATTTAAAATGAAATCCATCCAATCGCAAAGGATTGGTATCCCACAAATCATACCTGTACCATAAAGTAATCACACGATTTGTAAGATTTGCATTTTGATCATTTGAGAAGGATCGAGCAAGCCCAAAATCAGCAAGCTTCAAATTGCCTTTGTTGTCAATCAGAAGATTGGAACCTACAAGGAAAAGGAGAAGCCTTTATCAGTTATCACCACACTTAGAGAATATGAAATTAGAAAATCAGTATGAATTTCCTAAACCGAACCTTTAATATCACGATGAAGTACTTGATTTACATGACAATAGTGCAGTCCCGTCAAAAGCTGCCTCATGTAACACTGCAAAAAAGAAAGTGAATATCAACATCCTACTCACTCTCTTCTTTCAAGCAACTATTTTGCTCAGCAGTGCTACCAGACACGTTAGTGACAAATTATGCTACCTTAATCTGCGGAACTGAAAATCTCATTCCAGGACGATCAGCAAGCCCAGTCAAATCATGGTCCATGTACTCAAAGACCATGTAGATTCCGCCTTTATATTTGTTACCATCTGCAAATAAAGTCATATGTTTACTTCAAATATGACAAACTCAATTAAATCAGAAGTGACATCAGGTGCAGGGTTTGGGGGAAGCAGTAAAAGCACCATATGAAACTAAAATTAAATTAAGAAACACTTGCCTGGCCTCCCTTGGTCATCCTTCTCACGACCTACAACAATAAAAAATGGATACTTTCACAGGACTGATTACCACAAAATAAAGAACAACAACAAAAAAGGACACAATAATTACTAAACTTTCACAAAACTATTTGGATCTTTTTATACTGTCAATTCGGATATTAAAAGGACCCTTTTTTGCAATTTAGCACGGTAGTTCAATATATTTGAATATTGACGAAGATCACAGTCAATGCAGGCAAAAATTAATACATTTGCTGTAAAAAAGATAAGACATGTTTAATAAGGTAAAAAAATCTTGCTGGCAATGCAATTGCAAGACAGCAACTTTTGTACAATTTTTTTCATTACTGAAGGAAAACCACAAAGGGCACGTAAGAAGGAAAAAAGTTAAGTAACTTTTATATGTGTTTTTTAAGTTAGCGTAAAAAGGGGACCATTAGTAAATAATAAAAATGACACAATATGAAAGCTTGTATATATTATTCAACTCTTACCTGGAGATGTTACAATCTCTTTCAGGTCAATGACATTTTCATGGTGCAGCTTCTTTAAGATTTTAATCTCACGTATAGCAGTTATTGGAAACTGTTAAGAAAAGCTTCAGTGAGGAGTTTGAAAGAATTAACAAAATGCAAATCATATTTAAAATAAGAAGCTCACCCCTTCTCTTTCGTTGTCCATGCGTATCTTTTTCAAAGCAACAATTTCCCCTGTTCTAATTTCTTTTGCCATGTACACTTGACTGCAAGGTAAAAGATATGCCACATTAACAGTTGTACATCTAATGAACAAATTGTTGAGCACCAGTTAAGGTAGTCATCCTTTTTCTACAGTTACAGTTCAGACTACAAAAATGGATCAACTAACTACTCCCTCCATTTAGAATCTAACAACCATGTTTGCCTTTTGATTTGTATTAAAATCATATCCATTTTCAGAAGCACAGTATAGCACATCAAAGTACATGTTCCCACCTATACACTTGTCAATAACAAACTTCTCTTCCAGAACAGTCAAAACAAAATTTACGACCCATACATTGCCCTGCAGTGATATGGTTATGGCAGATGATTCTGAGCATTTGTTATGTGAAGGGGGTTATGCCAAGATCAGTGAAGGAACCCTTATAAGGTTGGACAAGAAAAAGAGTTGGAAAAGGCAAGAAGAGGATTTGGGAAACCATCCCAGCATGTATATGGTGATCAGTACAGAAATGAAGGAACTAAAGATGTTTCAGACGATAGAAGGAGAGTATATGAGTTGAAGTATAACAGTCTCTCTTTCAGCATTTTGGTCTAAGTTGCAAAATAGACAATGACGTAGATAGTTTAAGACAAATTCTGAGTTAACCCTCCAGTTACTTATAAAAAAGATGAATTACTCTTTTGATGAGATACAAAAAGTTGAGAACTTTGACCTGAAATTTGTCTTCGACACTACAAGCCAAAACAAATGAGACCTTTAAACAAATCTACTCTTTTGATGAGATACAAAAAGCTGAGAACTTTAAGCTGAAATTTTTGTCTTCGACACTACAAGCCAAAAAAAATGAGACCTTTATACTAAATTTCTCTTTTGCCGCCATTCTATTAGCTAAAATACTGCTCTACTAACTTTAGAGATCACCTGCGTTGCTTGGACTCTCCACAATTATTGCCGCACCCATGTTGGATCCTCCAAAATGCACTACTTTTTGGAGGAACCGACACACCCAACTACATTTTTGAAGAGTCGGAGCATCATAGGAGCTCACAAACACCAAATGTCTTCTATTTGCTAAATACCTAAATTTTCCACATAAAGTTTCAAATTTTCAATTAATTCTGGATAAACGAATACACGTGGAAGGTCAAACGTAGCCCGAGACTATAACTTTCAGCAAACAGAGTCCTAATCCATAAATTCTCTTACTACCAGCTATGAAATACACAGGATCTCATGTATATAATTGAGGTCTACATATATAAACCCCGTGTATTCATTCCGTTCTATTCAAACACATTCATCCCAACTCTCTATAAAATGTCTTTTTAAACAAAAAAAATGATAACTTTAACACACACTACAACAACAAACCCAAAGTAAGACTGTTTCCGATAAACCCTCGACTCAAGTAAAAGCGCACACACTACAAGCAAAATACATAATTCAAAATACAGAACTAACCCATAAGTGCCTTCACCAATCTGCTCCAATTTCTCGAAACAATCAACGGTTCTAGACCCCCAAGTTGGAGCTTCCGTAAGATTAAGCTGTTCTGGTGCAGCTATTGCCATCTCTAACTAACTGATCTTCAATTGAATTTTTTCTTTTTTCCCTGATTCAATTCCTTCCAAATTCCCGATAATTCAGCTAGAAAATACTAGGGTTTTGCTTAAATTAAACGAAGATCAAATCAAGAATCGGTAATTATGGGAATAAGAAGAAAAGCAAGCAGTTTGGATGACTCCAAATTCAAGAAAAGAGTTATGGAATCTGAAAAAGGAAAAATAAAAGAAGGCACAATTGATATTTGGGACTTGAAGAACAGTGAAAACAGTGAAGCCTTTATTTATTTTCCTCAATAATATATATATATAGACTTTATTAGTGCCTTCCTAGTTTGATTTGGATAGGTTATTGATTAAAATCAAAATTAAATTAATCAAAATTAAATTAATTAAGTTGATTTAAAAATTTTTAAAATTAAACTCAAGAAATCATCAGTTTGGTTTTTATCGATTTGGTTCAATTTTTTTTTTCAATTTAAAAGTAATAAGTTTATCGAGGGCATATACGAGTTATTATTATACAAATAAAGTAATTTTAGTTAAGCAATAATAAAGTCAATATACACCAAATATCAAATCTTTCTAGCAAAAAAGAAAACCCCAAACTCAAAAATTGAGAAAGCTTGGACTTAAGATTTTAATATAGTTGCTAAAATTTAAGTGTTGGGTTTGAAAAAATGGTAAAGATAAAAGACTTAAGTTAATTAAAATTTAATAAAGCATTTATATTTTATTTATGAATAATATATAAATAATTATAAAATTTATATATAAAATTTCTCGGCTCGTTTGGTTATTTTTGTAGTAAAATCAAAACCAAATCAAATAGTATCAATTTTCAAAATTTAAATAAAACCTAACCAAATCAAATCAAATATCAATTTTTTCAATCGATTGGATTTTTTAACCATAACCATGAACTGCCATAGACTTTATAAGTGTAAGGTATGATGTCTTTTTTATTTGTGTAACAATAATTTGATAAGTTATACATTATTACAAACTTAAAAGATCAAAACTGCTGAATTGATACTTAAGGAAGTATGTTGAACTTACTACGACAATTAAGGGACCATTTTTGTCAATTGTCTCTTCTAAAAATTGTCAACTTCTACTCTGCAATCATCAGAAAGATAAAGCTCTAAAGCTGCGGTTCAACAACCAGCCGCCATCCAGCCGCTTCATTGTATAGGTAAGTTTTCAAAGATTCAATTTTTTAATTTCGATTAATCATGATTATAATTTCTAATTATCTCAAAATCCTTGCATTTGAAATTTGCTTGTCGAGATTTAAACAATGTGAATTTCACCAACAAACATATAAAATGTATTTTGTTAGTATAGTTTTGAGTATTTTAACAAAGACCAGTTAAATTGACTATAGATAAGCAAAAAGTGTCACATAAATTGAGACGGAGGGAGTGAACTGTAGTTTATTGGATTTAGGAGTTTATGGAAGTGGTCTTTGAGAATTATAATCCAAGATCATGAGTTGAAGTTGATTGTTTAAAGGGTATAGTTGGATAATTATAGTCTATACTTGCATGAAACTCAATCTACTGGTGCTGTCCTGTCTAATCCCTTCGGGTTTAATTTGATCGTATGAATCTTATTTGATTTTGATGCGATAAAGTTTTGTTTAAAATGTGAAGAAGGAAGTGTGTGAATGTTAGTTATTTCTAGTTCTCATAAGCAAAACTTTTTGGAGTTGAGATGAGGTTAAATAGCACGACATGGATAATGAGAATTCATATTGCCGACCCCTGACTTGTTTGGAATTGAATCCTAGTTGTTTTTGTTTTGAAGTGTTTTATCGGAATTACAGGTGATTCAAATGGCTGATGAAGATAGAAATCTCATTGAGATCTTGGCGAATAGCCCAATAGACTTCAATAAATATATTGGTTATGTTAGTTCTCCCAAATGTGGAGCTATAGCAACATTTGCAGGTACAACGCGTGATACATTTGATGGTAAAGAAGTGTTAGAGCTACAGTATGAAGCATATGTTCCAATGGCAGTACGTTGTCTTAAATCTCTCTGTTCTTCTGCCCGATCATCGTGGGATATCCACTCGATAGCTGTTGCTCACTGCTTGGGTACTGTTCCTGTTGGAGAGACTAGTGTATTTGTTGCAATCTCGTCTGTCCATCGAGCAGATGCATTGGATGCTTGCAAGTTTCTGATTGATGAGCTTAAAGCATCAGTTCCGATATGGAAGAAGGAGGTATATACAAATGGAGAGGTGTGGAAAGAGAATAAAGAGTTTATCGAGAGGATGCCAGATCTTGGGAAGGCATCACATGATCAAGGCGGAGCTTGCTCTGGTAAAAAGAAAGTGGAGGCACACGAGAGAAAGAGCTGCTGTGGAACGAAGGTTAAAGTCAATGACGAGTCTGCAGATTCTTGTAGGTAGCTCTGAGGCACATATTGTATTTCATTCAAATCCTTCACTTTTAAACAAACCCGAAAACTAAGAAATGGTTAATTCATTCCTCTTTGTTGTGTGTGCAATACCAACTATAACATGCTCTAGCACATCAGATTTATAGCTGAAGGCAGTTTCTTGCAAGTGTACATACAATTTAGTTGTGCTCCCATTTAACTCATTATGATTGCTTATGCCTCTAACAGAAGGGGGAGCCTTGGAGAAACGTAAAGTTGTCTCCATGTCACCTATTAAACCACGGGGTTTGATCCGTGGAATAAGCCACTGTAGGCATGCTTACATCCTTTGGGTTGCGCCAAAACTCCATAAGTTTGGTCATTTATAGCTTAGGCATTCTCGAGTTCTTTTTGCCTATTTCCCCTGACAACAATAACACTTGTTGAATGATTCATACATTAAGCTCCAATTTATTTTGCTTTTGAAGCCTTATGTATAGAGCCAGACCATTCTTAACAGTATGATATACTATTAGATTGTAATATACACCGAACTGCTTCTTTTTACTGTCATGATTAGACGGACTTCTCCTCAGGAATGTTTACCATGAAGTTTAAGAAGGCTACTACCGCGTGTATAGAGCAGAGCTTAAGTAGTTGCTGTTTTCGAGGCTACTGCATATTTTCATGACAAAGAATAAAGAGCTTAAGGCAAGGAAAATTTATGCACACAGTGAGTGAGCCAAAGAATAGAAGTGGTACAATTAACACTAATGGATAAAACTCACTCAACATTCAAATATTCACAAGAACCATACAATGTTAAAAGGGAATGACTTTACTAGTAAGTAAATCATATAAAAGTATGAATTTTTCAGACTTCAAAATAAGAGATCAGAAAGTTTGACATGATCTGACTTCACACATTCACAATCTTTGTTCAAGAACTTCCTATATGAACATCTCTTGCAGTGGGCAAGAGGGCAACAGCACCTCTATCTGGACTAGAAAACTTCCTATAAACTGCCTTCAGCTTGTTTTCAGCAGCACCAGAGTGGAAGCTAACTAATTGTTTTGCACATTCCCTGTTTCAAACAATACATACACAACACAATTAGTTCATAATTTGTAGAGTTACCAATCCTAAATGACAAGTGCTTCAACTTTTTCTTTACCTCAGCTGGTCTTCTGAGTAGCCAGTGTGGTGCTTCAGAGTGTCAGTCCATCGAGGGCTCTTGTTGAGAGTACTACGAGCAGCATAAACAGCAGAAGCAGCAAACTTTGATGGACAGTAGGATATCACGGTAGTGTAGTTCATCAGCCCGAGCTCAGCCAAGAAAAATGTCATGTTCTCCATCTATAAAACAACAAAGAGGGCGCGTATAATCAGCTAAACCAGCTGTCTTTATCTGCTTAAGTAGTAGCAAATTCACATTGAGAATAAAACAATACCTCCTGATCAGATGGAACTGCAGCTTTAATGTAACGAACCAGAAAGACGTATGGCGTTGGGACAGTTAAATACCACTCCAGCTTTCCCAAAATTACTTTCTCCATCAGAAGTATCTGGTCCCTGACATAAGCATTGTCTGTTATTGTTAGGAATTCATTAACCTGCAGAGACAAACATAACATATAATCAGAGATTATGATAAATTTGAACTAAACAGATTTAACACATTTTGAGATTACTTCATTTTTATACCTCTGGAGCCCAAATCTCTTCATATTTGCAGGCAATAAGCATTGAGCTGATGCATAGTAACTGAAGTTCCCTTCTAGGAACAGTCTCTTCTGACAGGAAACGGTCCATTATGTTGACTGTGAGATACAGGCTTTCAGGCCTCAGCTCAAACCTTTTGTGTGCTTCTATCAGCCAGTCCACAAGAATTGCTCTCACCCTGTCATTGATCTCTGGCTGTGAATCCATGTAATCACATGGTCGATTTTCGTCCTGAATCAGCCAAATCATCAAAAAACAAGATCAACTTCACGAAAGGTGACTGAACTTTTTCCACTATTACAATAAAGTCACAAAACCATTTCGTTACATTAAAGTGAACACAGGAGACAAAAGTTTTCACCATACCTCTGTGAGCTTATAGAATTTGTAAATATCCTCAACATATTCAACACCAGCCAAGTGATTATCAGCATCAGCAGCATCAATATCAACAATCTGTGTTCTTGGTTTGTTGGAGAGTCCACAAGCAGCCTAAAAGATAATTGGTCAATTACACTTATATACTGATCTAACTTACTACATTTTCAGCAAAGGGAAGAGGTAAAAAGACAACCTTGCTTCGTGCAGTTAGGATAGAAGTTAGAGTCTTTCCACTCTTCCTTACTTTTCTTTCTTTCAAGGTGATCTTTTCAATGGTTTTCACATCCTCATCAGGGCATATAACACTAATTGTTCCAGCTTTCGCTTTGACAGAATCCTTTTTATTAGCTTCTGGTTTTGCTGGAACACCAACTTTTCTTGCTGCAACTCCTTTAGTTACAAGAGGCTTCGTCTACAAACAAACCACAACAACAAGCCAATTGGAAAAAGGGGTTCTCCAAGAACTAAGTACAGTAAAACATCTTAACCCCATCTTTAAAATCAGAAAAATATTACTCCCAATAGGAAAACTTTTTCAAGAACTATTATTCACACAGATAATGAGGAAATTACCTTGTTCTTCTGCAGTGGTTCTTGTCCCTTAACTATCAACTGTGCAGCAGACCTCCTGAATAGTGAAAGTTCTCATTCAAGTTACACGAGCGTATACAATATAAAACCAACAGCAACAACTACGCCTCAATCCCAAGATCAGCTATACAAGATTAACCAAAATGCATAAAAATGTCGAGTTGTTTGTAAAGTGTGACTGAATTCTACCTAGTGATGGGGCGAGAAACCTTAGTTTGAGGCTTTGCTCCAACAGCAGGACCAGTGACAAGGTTTCCAATATCTCCCAAAGCACGCCTAGTTCTTCCATCTGCTTGTTCATTCTTCTTCTTAACCTCTCCCCCTCCTACTACTAAATAGTTCAAACTCACATATCAGTAAAGATTCTAAACAAGGAAAACCTTGGCCAAGAAATGAGTTCTATAATGACAGTGAACAAGCCTAAAAATAGTTAAATGAACAGGGAAATGGCGATAATTGTTGAATGTTATCACAGCTTGAGAAGGCAGAAATATGTATAAACATAATCTTCCTTCTTTATTCGGACTTGGAATAGCAATGTGATCAAGAAAATCAAATGAATCATAAAAAAAGGGGGAAATACAGCTTTAACAACTCTCCAGAATTTCATTAGCAGTGATCAAGAATCTAAACAATGAGCTCATATCAACATGTATTAAACAAATGAAAAACACCCAAGAAACATCAATACTCATCATGATTCACTCAAAGAAAACTGCATTAACATAAACCCCAATTAAATTCTTTCAATACTAACAACAAACAACTAGTAAATTGGGAATTTGGGGTGTTGAAAAAGACATCTTTTTCCTCACCTTTGGGTAAAATTTTTGGAACTGCGTCTCTGTTAGCCATTTCAATGTCTTCTTCTTGAAGAAGCTGAAGATTTTTTATTTTTTTTTATTTTTCACAGATTGTGAATGGAAAGAGAAGGGTTAATTTGAGAGTTTTATACTGTGCGTAACGTACTTTTAACGGTCAAATTTTCACATTTTTTAGCTTTGAAATAAGGAGCGCTGGATGTGGGTATGTAATAATCAGATAAAAATCATTTTCTTAAAAAAGGAACAAGACTCTGAAAAATATCTCAACTTTGGTCGGATTTGCTGTTGCGATATTAAATACGGTATTAAATAGTCTAGGGAGGTAATAGGTCCTCATTAAAGTTTAGTATCGCAACAGCAAATCCGACCAAAGTTGGGGTATTTTTCAGACCCTTATCCCTCTTAAAAATCGTGCAAATCTCTTTTTTTAAATATTTTTCTGGTAGCATTTTTTATAACCTGATCATTGTTTAAAAATAAATAAAGTAATATGATTAATTTGCTCCTTTTAATATATACTTATGCCTAATTAGTTTTGTAATTTGTAAAACGTCGTCTCCGAAAAAAATCATTAATTGTGTGAAGTTATTTGCAAAAATGAAGGAATTTCAAATTGCGATAGATAAAACTACTAGTAATTTAATCTCAAAGTTCGCGAAAGCTATAGCAATGCAATACAATGATCCGGTAAGACCTAAGACCCGGTATCGGTCCAAATCGGTTCTGATCCGGTAACTATGGGATCGGGCGGAACTTCCGGTAGAACCGGTTCCGATAAGACCCAGTTCTGGTAATTTTCCCCTTTAAGGAGGACCGGTTCCGGTAAAACCAATCCTGTTGTGCCGGTCCGGTCTCCTTGCCAGCCTTAACTGGGACAGAACCAAGTGAGAGTAATGGGGTTCAAACCCTATTTGACGAAAATTATTCTTTACGTATATAGTGCTTGGTGTAATATACGATACAATGGATCGATGAACTTGATTATGAAACCATATAAGAAAATAGATCTTGAATATTAGGCTTTTATATCATGTGGATCTGTTTTAATTAACAACTTTCACATTTTATACTCCCTCCGTCCCTATTTACTTGTCCATATTTCCTTTTTTAGTTGTCCCTATTTAGTTGTCCATTTTGACAAATCAAGAAAGGACAACAAATTTTTTCCTATTATACCCTTATTTACACTTCTTGAAAATTGTAAAAGTGTATGTTGTTTCCCTCCAATTTATTTCACTTTAATTCAAATAAGTGGTTGTAATTTTGAAGTGAAAAGTTGTCATAAGGGTAAAATTGTAACTTCACTGTGCTAATCATTGTTGCCTTAATCTGTGTGTCATTTCTAAAGTGGACAACTAAAAAGGGACGGAGGGAGTATTGTTTTATCAACAAAAAAACAAAATGTTGGAGATGCAGGGGATCGAACCCTGTACCTCTCGCATGCAAAGCGAGCGCTCTACCATTTGAGCTACATCCCCAACCATATTGTTAGATAATATTCTTCAAGACCATTTGGATTATTTAAAGATAGAAGAAATAAGCACTTAGGTCTTTTGGCAGGGTGTATAATAGTAATAATATCGAATATGGTATCAATTATGCAATGTTTGGTAACGCATCCTAGTCCCTTAGTTTACTCTGTAACATCATATTTAGATATTTAACCTTATGAGTCGCTATTAAAGTAAAATTGCATCAAATTTATTCATTTGCAGTAACAAGAAAATTAGTAACCACATCAAGAACTCAATGGAATGGAAGACTAGTCCGAGTCCCACAACATTTGTTATTATTATAAACATCTATCCCACCACAAACTACAAAGATAGGGCATACACCTCATCTTCCCCAGCCTAGATATGTGGTGATATTGTTGGGCAAGCTCCTAAGGTTGCCAGCTATTGTTCTTCTTCATCCCCATTAATAGGAGTAGCAAATTCAAGAAGTTGCTTGTCATGCTCAAACACAGACATTTCTTGTTCATTCAAGTTAACAAATGCTTCAATTCCTCCATCATATGTCCTCATCAAGTGAATAAACTTGTTAAGTGGACCCTTTGCAAAGCTTGCTCTAATAGGCTTCCCAAATCCAAAATCTAAATCTTGTAAGAATGGGAACTTACATACGCTACTCGAAATGTACAAATCACATTTCCTTTTAGAGAATGGCTGCTCCCCTGTTCTATAGGATTAATTCATCGTTGAATTGCTCATAGCTAATTAATATATTAGTCGCTAAGTAAAATTAGCAACACATTTTGAGCAGTCGATTAGTTTTTCGCCCCCAATGGGACGGGGAATTTTAACCCTTGGATCCTTCATTATTGTGAATCGAGACCCAGCCTGACTCGCGCCGTTCCAACAACCACCACGCCACCAGGAAGCACCTCAATATACGATTGCACACAATAACTAGGAGTAAGGCCAACTTCGTACGTCATGCCAATTTTTGTTTTCCTTTTGCATTGAAGGCCTAATGTGTATAAATAACTAGCTTAGTTGTAAATTGTAATGGACAGATAAAAAAAAGTGAAGAAAAATGCTATCAATAGTATCCAAAAAAATCATCAAACCTTTCACTCCCACACCATCTACTCAAAGATGGCACAAACTTTCCCTTTTAGATCAAGGTGTCACTTAGGGCTGCATATCGGTCGGTTCGGTTCGGTTTTGAACATTATCGGTTTTGCTTATCGGTTATCGGTTTGTAGATTAGCTAAACCGTTAAAGAACCATTAAGTTATCGGTTAATCGGTTATCGGTTAATCGGTTATCGATCCTTATCGGTTCGGTTATCGGGTTAACCATTAACATATCACACAATTTTTTAAAATAAAAAATCACATGAAGAATTGAAGGAAATATAATTAAACTAATCAACTCCATGTAATTATTTACTACAGACTGCAATTTGCAATCAGAAAACTGGAAACACGAACGAAACAGAGGCAAAACGTTTTCTTTTTAAGGCTGTCACCTCTACTTGGTTTATGAGGGCAGCAAACCAAGAAACAAGTTCAATGTCATTTCCATCCAATACTAATTCATACTTAACTTTTTCAGAACGGACAACTGTAACCCCATCAAGCATATCGACTTTCCTCATCTGATACAGTGATGGCAAAGAAGTTAGTTCCTTTACTAACATGCAGTAACATCTCAAAGGTGGACTTCTGTCCATCAAGAAAATTTGTGACAGACACATATCATGGAAAGCATTTTAAGCATCATAACATTATTCAAATAATAAATGTTATAAACTACTGCAAAGTGATCCCCATAGTATGGTGACAAAACTAGACTCAAGGAAGCAATTTAATTCCAACAATATAGCAAAATATTACAAACACTTAGCAGCAGAAGAAATTAAAAGAGCACATCAACCCATCAAAGGCTGAATAAAACAGCAGCACTACAAGCTGCAAGCCAGCAACATTGCAGAATGCAGCACAACATTCACTGCCAGTCTGTCACAGCCCACACAGGCACAAATAGAATTTCAAAAATTTAAAATAGCAGTCACACAACCTGAAAATTTAAGTCCAAACATAGTACTAAAAGTTCACGTTCAAGTAAACAAAATAATAACTAGTCATCAATCCTTAAGAGTTGACGATTCTGGTTCCTATTTTCCAAACAACGCTTAACATGCTTCCTTAAGGAGGCAATCCCAATTTTGTGTGAATGGTAATAAGTAACACGGCCACAATGAACACATTTTACTGTCCACGATCCATCTTCTTTTTCTTCAAGCTTTTCATAGTGATTCCAAACAGGTGATCGAGCATTAGAATCATGAAGTCGAGGCATGATGAAATCTGATTGACAAAGAAACAGAGAAAGTATTAGATACTTTGATGGCAAAAAATGAAAGAAAAGTTAAGATAAATTGATGAAGAACACCAAGTTCTACATGGAGCTTGTTTTGCACAAGTATTTTGTATTAACCATAATTTAACACTCATTAGTCATCAAAAAAGAGAAGTCAATCATAAATCAGACATAAAGATAAGATAACACATGTATATAAAAATCCACCTCAATAGTGAGACATCTACTTCCTTCTCCTTTAGTAGAGTTAGTGAAGGAAACCTCCAATTTTACATGTCATCAATGCAAAGTTCTTTTCCAAGTTTAGCCAAATCTAAAGAGAAATACGATAACAAGTCAAGGCTCAAGGCTTAAACAATAAAAATATTAAATAAACTATTCACAATTTTACATCAATGAGGTTCTTTTCTTACCTTCTTCAAGTTGCTCAAGAAAATCTAAATCTTCCTCAATACTTATGGGTTGTGGCTCACTCCGAAGCCAATCTTGAAGGCACACTAGAGCTTGTACCAATTTAGGAGTTAATGAACTCCTAAATGAATCAAGTATGCGCCCTCCAGTACTAAAAGCACATTCAGACGCCACACTTGAAACGGGAATCGCCAACACATTACGAGCCATCTCAGAAAGAAGTGGAAATCTAGGTGAGTTAACTTTCCACCAAAGCAATACATCAAAATCTGATTTTCCAACTTCAATTTCTTCATCAAGATATTTAACTAATTCTGACTTTGAACTTGCTCCTCCCCTTTGAGATGTATGTTTTTGTAATTCCTCAAAAAAATTTCCCAAGCCTCTTACAGAGCTTGAATCAGAAGTATCCACCTCAGTTGAAGAACATTGACCATTTTTATCATTTGAAATATGCTTTGTATACTCATTAAACAAAGATTCCATGTACGTTCGCACACTAATTTCTACAGCAGCCCCCTTTTCTCCAAACATCTTCTTAAGTGCAAAGCCAAGAGTGCTAAATTTGTGACGAGGATCCAAAACACATGGTATGAAAACCATCTTATTCATTTTTTCAGTATCACCCCAATATTTGTCAAATTTCTCCTTCATATTTTCTGCCATTTTAGCCAAAACATGATCTTCATTTGATATCAATTGATTCAAGTAAACACCAACTTGACAAATTTCAAGAAAATGCAGATTTGATGTAACATATCGTGATCCAGATATCTTCAAAGTAAGATTAAAAAACATTTCAAGAAATTTTGTAATTCTCTTTACGCCCTCCCAATCACTACTCAAAAGTGTACCTGTAGAATTTTTATCCACAATATCAACAAACTTAAGATGTAGTGCCAAGCCAATATCACGATCGGCGTACTCTACAATTGCACCTTCATATTCAATAACCCGATTCAACATCATGTAGGTGGAATTCCACCTTGTAGGAACATCCAAGCATAAAGACTTTTTAGCAAGATTTTCATCTTCACAACATTCTTGAAACTTTTTCCACCTAGCAGGAGATTGCCTGATGTATCTTACTGCTTGCCTAACCCGTTCAATACACACATTTGCTTCTTTTGTACCGTCTTGAACAATAAGATTTACAATATGAGCCATACACCTTATATGAAGGTGACTACCACCCATTAGGTTGGTCCCCCATTTAGTTAGTTGCTTAGACAACTCAGTTATTGCCACACTATTTGAACTAGCATTATCAACTGTAACAGTGAAAATTTGATGCAATCCCCACTCATGTAAGCACTTACTAATAGACTTTCCAAGATCTTCACCTCTATGACTAGAGATTGGACAAAAATTGATAATTCGTTTATGCAAAGTCCAATTCTTATCAATCCAATGAGCAGTAATGACCATATAATTGATTCTTTGAATGGAAGTCCAAGTATCCGTGGTTAAAGACACCCTTTGTTGTGTTTCCTTAAAAACAGCCATCAACTTATGTTTTTCTTCATAAAAAAGATCAAAACAATCACGAGTCACAGTGGTACGGGAAGGAATGTGGAAACAAGGTTGTGCTACTTTCATAAATTGTTTAAAACCTTCCTTTTCAACAAATCTGAAAGGAAGTTCATCAATAATTACCATACGACACAAGGCCTTTCTACACTCTTCCTGGTCAAATTTCCATGGAACAACAACTACATCACCCTTGTTACCCCCTATTATTGGTTGAAATGCTAATTTTGATTGTTTAATATCAATATTATAAGGCATCTTTGGGCATTTGGCAATATGAGTAAGCATTGACGTCGTACCATGTTCTTTTGTGTCAGCAAAATACTCTTTCTTACAGTAGTTGCAAACACCTTTTTCACTTCCATCAGAATCAGTTTTACGAGAAAAATGATCCCATGCACGAGATCTTTTTTTCCTTCCTTTCTTTACTTGGGACTCAACAGATTGACTTTGACCTATTGCATTTGAATTAGAAGCTCCACTTTCACCAACAACCTTATCAATTATTATATTTTCAGCCATGATACTTTCACCAAAAACTGTGAAAAAATATAAAATAATCGTTTATTGAACTATTTTTTATAAGAGGTCGATGAAGCAATGAACTATTGAAGCCTTGAAGGAACTAAACAAAGAGTAATTAGTTTTTCTTTCTTTCTTGTACATAGACTTGGCGCAGAACTGTACAAGGGGCTTCAAAGGTCTTCATTGAGAAGCATTACAATCGGCATAGGCGTCTAATAAGTGATACAGAGTATTAGGTAAAGATTTGTTAAAACAAGGTTGGCTTTTTACTAACCTTGACTACATTGTATTCTTCCATCTATGGTAAGAAATAGTAACTACATTCTTTATTTATTTATTTTCCTTGTCAAGCTGCTGCTTTTGATTTGTAGTGTGTAATCGTGTTTGTGTAATTTTGATAAAAGAATAAGAATTGCTGAATCACAGTATTGATTAAGTTGGTCTATGTTGTAGAACATAATGTTAGTGAAATTTCATCCTCCAGTAGAATTAATGTATCTGAACCCCAATTTGAGTCATGACAATAAACACATCACAGTATCACACAAAGCAGCAAGTCAGCAACTAAAAGACAAGTACAAGCAAATGAGCCAAAGTGCCAAACAAACCAAATGCCATTTCAAATAAAACAGTAATGTCTATTTAACTATTTCAATTGTAGTTTTCTCATTATTCAAATCTAAAATGTCGTGAAATTAAAGTGCAGCCACAATCATTTTCTCATAAATCAAATCCAAACATCACATTTCATAGTGAAATCTTGAAATTAAGTGAATTTAAAATTTTGAGACTTACTTGTGAGGCGTGAGCAGTGAGCGACTAAGAAGTGAGAACCTAAGACTGGAGAGCCGAGTAGGTCTGTGCAGAAGTCGTGAGAACTGAGAAGAGTGAGACTCGAAGTCTAGTCTCGAGCAGTCGAGCTTCTAACTTCTGAAATTTGAGCTTGTTCACCTATTAGACAACCAACAAATGACATTTAAAGGAGGAAATTTTAACACCAATGAAAAATAAGCTGCTACAAATGAACTGCACCATCCAAAAAAATGAAAATCATCCATTAGACCAGAATATAGTACTCAAATGCATTGAATATAGTCAATATTCTGTTCCTTCGTTTGAATCATGAAAATAGACACATGATGATAAATGGAACGAATAAAAAAATTGCAAGCTTGAGGTGTCAGACTGTCATCGTTAATCGTTACCTTGCAAGTTGCGTCCTTGCCTGAGTGACTACTCCCGTCGCCTTGCCGGACGCCTGAGACCTGAGTGAGAGTGACTGGAGTCAAGTCATCGCCTCGCATGAGTTTGGAAATTGGAGAAACTTTGGAGTTTCGAATTTTGAGAAACGAGAGGAGCAGTGAGAAGAGTTTCAACTTTCAAGTCCTAAAAATTAAAAACCCTAAGTCCCTAACAGAGAAATGAGAATTCTAAAATTAGAAATTAGGGAAAAAAATATAGCGGGCCTTATCGGGGTATCGGGTACCCCGAAATTTTTCCTTCCCAACTCGACCCCCGAACCGTTAATCCAATAAAAAAAATTAATGAACCGAGCCCCGAACCAATTACCCAATATCCCGACCCGTTAGCCCAATAAACCAAAAATTAGTTCGGGTTAATGGTTTGACCCGATTTTTGCACAGACCTAGTGTCACTCGCTTGTATATTCCCTTGGTTTTTTTCTACACCAAAAATCAAGTTAATGCCATCCCAAATGGGCCTAAAACACTATCAAACTCTTTGTCAAAATTATTAAGTTATTACTATCCATGGGCTGGAAGTCTAAAAGACAATGCCACTATTGAGTGTGATGACCATGGTGCTGAGTTCTTGGAAGTCCAAATCAATTCTCCAATGGACAAAGTTGTTGATTCAAATGTCAAAGATTTGACATTTCCTCAAGGTGTACCTTGGGCAAATGGCGTTGATCGCGCCTTAATTGTAGCTCAATTAAGTCATTTTGATTGTGGAGGAATAGCACTCAGTGTTTGCTTGTCGCACAAAATAGGAGATGGAAGTAGTGCCTATTGCTTCTTGAGAGATTGGGCTGCGTTAACGCGAAGTTCAAATACAAATCCATCTCCTTATTTCGTCGAGGACTCCATTGTACCATCGCCAATTGGTCCATTGATTTCCCCTGTTGTTGGATCAGACATGGACAAATGTGTCCAAAAGAGGTTTGTTTTCTCTAGCACAAAGCTAAGTGCATTAAAATCGTCAATTGGCGTGCAAAATGTAACGAGCAATGAGGCCGTAAATACACTTGTCTACAAATGTGCTGCATCTTCTGCCACCATTGTTAATTCAGGTTCATTCAAGCTATCTCAGTTGGTTCAGTTCTTTGATTTACGAGAAATAATATCACCTCCACTACCCCCAAACTCTATAGGATATACGAGAAAGAGGAAGAATTTAAATTGTCAAAATTAGTAACCGATATAAGAAAGACGAAGAACATCCATCCTCTCCACAAGAAATATCCTTGAAGAAAATGAATATGTTATGGAGGCATATAGAACAGGGGAGGAGCCATTCCATAAAAGGAAATGTGATCTTTACTTTTCGAGTAGCGTATGTAAGTTCCCATTGTTACAATATTTAGATTTTGGATTTGGGAAGCCTATTAGAGCAAGCTTTGCAAAGGGTCCACGGAACAAGTTTATTATCTTGATGAGGACATATGATGGAGGAATTGAAGCATTTGTTAATTTGAATGAACAAGAAATGTGTGTATTCGAGCATGACAAGCAACTTCTTGAATTCGCTATACCTATTAATGGGGACTTTTGTTATGAAGAAGAACAGCGCTACATATGATGACGAATTGTGGGACAAATTCTTACTCCATATATAATTGCCAACCTAAGAAGCTTGCCTTTCTCAATAACAACATACAGAGTCTGGGGAGGGTGAGGGTGCATGCAGACCTTATCTTTTACTTTGTAAATAGATGCTTATGATAACCAATGTAGTGGTACTGGGACTAGTCTTCCATTCCACTGTATTCCTAATGTGGCTACTAATTTTCTTCTTACTGCAAACAAATAAATATGATCCTATTTCACTTCAATAGCAACTCATAAGGTCAAATTGCTAAACATGATGTTAATATTTGTTTTTTTCAACAGAAAAATCGATCAACTTGTTAAAAGGTACGCACGCACTTTTTTAAATATAAAATTTCATTAATGGGTGCAGGATTGATGTAACACACCATCAATGGTTCTTTGTTCGTTAAGGCTTTCCCCTGCAGTATTAAGAGGAATTTTCCACCTTTTTTTTCCTCTTGGGATTGGGTGGGGTGGGTGGTTGGGGAGGGGGGATAAAGATTAATTCCAAAGAGTAAACTAAAGGACTGGGATGCTCTACCACTAAGATGGATCTCACAAACATCAACAAACAGGGAAATAGCATCATATAAGAACCAACGTCAAATTCAAGCACATTTACTGGTCTCTTCCATTTTTCTCTCGTTTATTTCATTTCAAATCCTCTCCTATCAACCCTACAGGGAGGGAGAAGAAACGAACTGTCTTGGTAAGCTAAAAAGATCTTTCTCTTCAAAGGGAGAAGTCCACTCCCGAGAACCACCAGTAGATGTTTCTGCTGTTGCAGCTCGTTCCTGAAGCCCAGGTATCAAGACACCACCACCATTCGACAGAGCAGGTCTCATGGCAGATGTAACACCGAGTCCAGGGGTAAATGAATCATATGTACGTGCATTGTTTTGCATCAAAGGGTTCATTCCTGGCCACATGCCACCTGCTCTTGAAGATGAAGACCCGCGATCTAAACTCCAGTCTATGTTAGTGTAATCTAGCTGTTCCATTGAGCCGCCACCACTGTTCCAATCAACCGGAGATGATGACCCAGACAGACCATTGGTGCCAAACCCAGAGAAGAGTCCAAGTGAGGAAGCTGCAGAAAGGGTTTGTGTCTGCAAAGCACCTGTTCTACTCCACAAATTATTACCCCGGCTTGTTCCTGGCGATTCAAGTGGGCCGTTGCTAGAAACAAATTGTTGCGGCTGCTGGTGTTGTTGATACTGAAGTTGGCTGTACAACTGGTTTGTGCTGACACCATTTGGGCTCAGGCTTCTTGTGCCAGGAATATGTGGCATCGGTCCATTGGGTTTCACTGTCTCAACAGTGTAAGGAACCCATCCTGCTGTACTTCCTGGCGGAGAAGAGCTTAAAGTTGAGGTGGGAGTCTGCTTAGGATTAAATGATTGATTGGGTCGTTGCATAACTATAACTGGTTCTCTCACAGTTCCTAGCTGTAGATTCTTCAATTCATTTCCTACAGCAATGTAACGAGCTTCCGTCTTGGATGATTGGGTTGATGCCTGCAAAGGAGATGCCAAAGAATAGGAAACAGAAGGATTTGATCCTGCATTTAACCACCTTTTGTCAGCAGGCACTGCCATTTGTGGTGGCTTGGCCCACTCCAATTTTGGCAGAACCCTTTTAAGTGATTGTATACTTTTGCTTCCATTCTCTGCAGAAGATCCTGATGTGGCTGCAACTTTAGTATAATTGAAGTCTCTATCATCCCTTTTAGGCAATATCATGTTGGGTGAAGGTTTTACAGGTGCTCTTAGTAAGTTCTGGGTGGTGGTATTTGGAAGCTTGCCATTGCCCAAGGTAGGAGGATCACCACTTTCTTCAGGCTTAGATGGCGCAGAATGTGCTTCCTGTTTTTGTGACCTCAAAGTCTCTTCAGCCTTCTCAAGATCACCCTCGCAGGCAACTAAGGCTCTTTCAACTTCCTGCTTGGAACACTTGTGCTTATTTTCCATGTCTGTAATGCGAGCAAGCTCTTCTGAAATGTCAATTTTCAAATTACCCCCACCATCAAGATTATGCTCCTTAAGTTTATCTGCTTCTTCACCACCTTCAAATAACCATGAGACTGATTCTTCTACTCTGCCTTCATTTAAGATAAGAGCCATTGTGGCTCGTTCTGAAGAGAATCCCATAGCCACAAGCTGCTGGGCAAGTGCTTCCAGCTTTCTTGACATGAGATAACCACTGCACTTTTCATGCAATTCTTGAGCTCGTCTCTCCTTTTGACGTTGATGCTTCTTCTCATTTTTCTGACGGATTTTTTCCCTTTTGTCGTTATCAGAGCCAGGTACTACTGTCTCTGCCCGGGGAGGGGAATTAGACATTTTCTCTTTATGGTCCTCTGACTCACCAGACCAGCTACCATTATTGGAAACAGAATCATACTCACTGCTAGGTCCAAGTGAGTGCCCACTATGGTCATCTGTCTCGTCAATATTCCTGAAACGACCGTTCACATGAAGAGCAGTATTTGAAGTCACAGGAGCTGTCTCAATTGTATGGAATGTTCCTAAAAGAGGATTGTATCCACTAGTCGGAGTAGTAGCACCTGCATTTACACTTGAAGGCTTTGAAGCAGCTTTGGGTGGTTCCTTGCCACCCTTTTTGTCCTTTGACTTGGACCTAGATGCTGGAGACATTGCTACTGCTTCTAATTCAAAAATCTACAGCAGAGAAGAAAGCATAGAGTAAGCAACTGCTACAAACTTATAGCACAAACTGTTAAGAGACTCTTCATCAATAAAATTTTACAATATTAAGTTTTAAGAAGAAAATGTCTTTCTACCAAAAATGTGAACAATAGAAGTAAGTCTGCACATACCCTTAAGAGAGAGGAAGAACTAACAAGTTACATAATAACATCAATGACACGGATGTGAGAATATTCAAAAAACTAAAGTTCTTAATTTCCTAGGCTGGATGTGCACATCTCAGTATAAACTGACGGACAAGGAAGCAAAGGATAACTATAGATGAACATGGACACACTTTTATCTGTTAAGATAATTCATTTAATTCCTGAAAAAGTTAAACCTTAATAAGTTGATAATGATGTAATGCAACACACTGATTAAACTCCCATACAAAGAGGAGACATGTATACAAACTCGAACTAAGAGAGAAAGGTAAATATATGTTACTATTGCATGTCTTGTGCAATTCTTTTAACATGCAAAAAAGCTAATGAAGAATACTGCAGGAAGTCTAGTTATACAACAAGGAGACAGATTCTAATGTTGCAGCAGTTAAAGAGCAAAAGCAGACAGACAGCATAGCTAACGAAGGAAGTAAGCCTCATTCTATCAGAGGCCAAAGCCCAAGGAAAATTAATAGAAAAAAGTATCACTAATTAATATAAAAGGAGTGCCTATCCAGGTAATCCTAATATCAGTGCATCCAACACTATTTCGCTAATCAATCACTTTCATGTTCTCGACTTCTAAGAGCTGAAATGGAAGAAATCTACTACAATCCTCATCCCTTGATCATGTTGAAATTGACATTGTACAGTATGTTGCATCATTCTTTTCTTTTTTTTATGATAGATATTTTCTCTGGGGTCAACCACATTCTTTGAAATTCAGGGATAACGGGTCCACCCTCTACCCTTCTACAGTACACATATGACTGGCTTTTCGGTCATGCAGAAAACTGTATATTAACTGTCTTAGGTTTAGTTCCTCTGGTTGGTTAGAACAAACAAACATCTTCAAGCAGCAAAATCCAAATTCCCATCCTTGATCTCAACTGAATCACCATCCAAAATTTATATCTTATACATCAGTAATTGCATAAGTGAATGAACCTGACTCAACAATTTGGTTTTTTCCTTTAAAATGTGGAACTGTGAATTAATAGCATGTCCATGTGATACAAACAAGTATGGTTGAAGTGTCCTAGTACAACAACCTTCGGGTGTGTGGTCTTATGAAATAATAGTCTCCGCATTCAAAATCTATAACCACCCTTGAGTCAAAAAGTGGGCTATTTGATGAATTGTGTTTCCTCTACCAAGTACCTCTAATATTTCTTTCATAGATATTGACTAAAGTAGCATAATCTCCCTAACAGTAAAAAACAAAAAAAAAAAAATTCGAAAGTGTATCACATATCATTCATATTCAAAAAAGCTAATACCTACTGAAATATTTTATAAAATAAAGAACATAGTCAGTCACACAACTGTTGATATCCAAGAAGATGCAAGAACAGACACTAGTCTGATTAGAAATTTGGCAAACTATCATAGTCTGTCAAAAGTATGAAATTATAAACGCTTTTCCAACTATTGCCCATGATTTCCTATTGCTATGTATGTTAAAATTGCTTCCACGTTACAATTTTGATTGCCAACAACAAGAAGTCGTTGTGTTTCAGAAATATCCCCACTCATAAGTCTGAGATACATCTATGAATTGAAAGGTCTGAATGATCAACTCTGCAATCAGTTGTTAGAATGGATAGGTATTCAAATTTGTTCATCTGAAAAAATTAGAACACTTCTTATTGGATGATCAGGAGATTCAAGCATTTCAGATCCTCAACATGATTGAAACTATTTTAGCACAATACGGTCACATCATTTCTGATCCTTAACAGTGTTATATTTGGACCCATTCGCGAATATGAATGGAACCAAGGGAGGGCAGAGTCTAGATAAATAAGAATCTAATTCTAACCATGGAAGCAAATAACTCACTATCATTTAGGCTTTCATCATCTTGTTCTTGTGCACATTTTGCCCTAAAAGAAAAATAGAACAAGAAGATCTAGCTTTCTGATAGAAGCATGTAAAAGACATTCCAGAAGCAAAATTGCAACCAAACCCATCCCGACCGCATAAAAACACAAATTCCCATGCGTATCAACATCAATAAATAACCCTAAATGCCTCAATCCCAACTAGATGTGTCTAAATCTTCTGTATCCATTAAAGTCTCGTAACATCAACGACTACGCCTCAACCCCTCA